AATCCGTCTGGTAGCGCTTGAATGTAGCCTGGGGACAGACGGAGACATGAGACATGGACGTCCTTCAGACGGAGGCGCTGAAGTCAAACACTCACAGTCATGTACTTCATGTCCATATCTGTCTTCTTCTCCAGCTCTACGATGATCTCTCTGTGGAACCGCTTGAACTGCACAGAGAAACGTTCAGATCACGGTTCACCTCCAGGGATGCAGAGCGCCCCCTAGAGGGAGACGTGCCAACACGGTGGAAACGTCCTTCTGTTGGACTTGATATCTGGACTCAAATCTTAGATTTATGGATCAAACCAGAGGTTGTGGAAACCGGTCCATGGCTAAACCCAAATATTTACTAATTTATCACTTTGTATTTATGAAATCTGATTTAAAGCTACTTACATTCTCCTCCAGTTCAGTGTGCAGCTTCCAGTGGCTTTCTGCCATTTCCATCAGAACACCACCTGCAAGACAACGTGTCATGTTCAGGTTATCAGGCTGGCTGCTTTCTTTCACAACACGACACTGAAGCTCGTTCTAGCTAACCGCTTTGTAATGTCTGTAGGCACTGGGAAGAAGATGCTAATAAACCTCTACCGCTCTCTGCAACGAGCCAGTTGGTGTTTAAACAATGAGGAGCTGCAGAAAGCAAGTCGGTCACAGCATGTAGAATCACACCGAGGGAGGAACAGAGATCAGCAGAGACAAAACGAGCCGCTGACGAAACATTCAACCTCTAAACATCTGAACCCCTAAATATCTAACCTCTAAACCCCTAAATATCTAAACTCCAATCTCTAACCTCTAAACCATGAGAATGAGCAAATAAAATAGAACAAATGGTCAAACTGGTCAAGGTGGGAATACTTATTATGTTTATTGGTTTCAGGGTCCAATAGGAAGACCAAGATGTTCCAGTACCAACCCAGTACCGCATCCAGCCTGACCCAGTTTCATTCACAGCTTAGTTTCTACACAACTTTCTTCAATGTTTGATCATCCATCTGAGGGAGAAGTTCTGGTACTGCTCATAAACGGGCTTTAGAGCAGAGCGAGCAGCTCTGGATGGAATCAGAACCAGAACCCATCCATCTGGTTCTGTCAGCAGCTAACACCAGCCTCTTTAAGGCTTGTGGTTTAAAAATCTGACTGGCCTTCCTGCTTTATAACTTGGGAGCGTCTCGGACCGGAACAGCCCCGCCTCTTTGGTTCTGATAAGGGAGCCGGACGGGCTGGCTCAGAACCTGAACTTTAGTCAGAGCCTTCATCACCTGCTGATGGCTATTAAAGATGGCCGCCACCTCTCCGAGTCAGGATGAGTCGACGACAGCGGCGCTTTGACCACCGTCACCACGAGGTCACTGATGCCTCAGCTGCAGCACAGCGGCGAAAAAACTAGTTCTTCACTTTTACTTGAGTAATAGTACTCTGAAGTACGGTTACTCTTACTGGAGTAAAACTGCAGCTGAATCAGAAACAGAGTTTAGAGAGAATCCTGTTTGAACTGCAGCCGCACCCAAAACTGTGACCACACCCACACACCCACACACACACACACACACACACACACACACAAACGCACGCACACACACACACAAACAAACACACACACACCCACCCACACACCCACACACACACACACACACACACACACAAACGCACGCACACACACACACAAACAAACACACACACACCCACCCACACACCCACACACACACACACACACACCCACACACACACACACTGTTTAATATTGAAAGTGTTTCTTCAGCTTTCATTTATGATGATGATGATGATGATGATGATGATGATGATGATGATGATGATGCTTCCCAGGGCGTCAGATCCGTTGGTGACGGTTTGGTTTGTGGTTTAGTGGAGGAACGTCTCCAGCTGATCTGCACAGGAATTTCACACAAACATTGGCGTGGCCTGCAGCAGGTCACATGACCAGTATGGGTCTGAACCTGGTTCTGATTGGGTCCAAAGACGCAGAAGCTGCAGCAGCAGACCGTCTCAGCAGAGAAACATTTGCTGCAGCTGAAGACGGCCATTGTTCACCGCAGGGTGCGGCTGAGAAACCTGATCCTGATTCATAACAGGAACCTGTCTGCAAAACACATGGCAGAGCTCCAGCTCGGCCCGGTACCGGCTCCAGCATTTAGTCACTGCAGCAGAGCTTCCAGAACCACAGTGCCATAGGTCCAGTAGAACCCTGAGCTGCTTCAAGATGATGGTTGGTCTCCAGAACCAGAACCTCAGACCGAAGCTCTGGTTTTATTTGGGCTCATCAGGGTCACGGGGCTGAACCCGCAGCCAGCGCTGTGAGGCCCGGAGCCCTCGATGGATCTGTCATTCATGCTCTTTTGGTCTGAAGGCGCTTTGTAAATATGATGAATGAATGAATGGATGAATGAATGAATGGATGGGATCCTAAATCTCTGTTTTCCCTCAAACAGACAGGAAGTTCCACTCTGGTCACAGATTTATAGAGCAGTTTGAACTGAGAGCTTCATCCTGATTGGTTTTCTCACTGAATCAACATCATGTGAACAATGGGGACAACCCAATGTTCATCATGGCTGAAAGTTTGAGCTCGTTAATGGCGCCCCGAGTGACGCCATGGCGCCCCGAGTGACGCCATGGCGCCCCGAGTGACGCCATGGCGCCCCGAGTGACGCCATGGCGCCCAGGCCTGAACCAACGCTCACCCAGCTCCCTGGACGTGGGCGACACCATGGCATTCTCTCCGATCTTTGACACGGCGTTGAAGTAAGATTTTCCGGCCGCGGTCATGGCTGCAAGAGAAAACCGCCGTGAACGTCATCATCATCAGCTGCCCCAGTGACCTCTGGTGACCCCAGTGACCTCACCTGTGACGGACTTCTCGTAGCTCTTTCCCAGGTTGACGAGGTTCCTCAGGGCCGGGTTGAACTGCTCCATCACATTCTGTGAACCGGAACCAGAAACCAGTTAGTCATTCCCACTGCTGCTGAAGCCCCACCGTGTTCACATCATAAAACCGGCTTCACACCGGAACAGAACCGGGACGGGAAGGACTTTATATGGGCAGAGTCCACTTCCTGGTTCCATCACTCTCCTAGTTTGACCTTTGACCTCCAGGCTGGTTCCTTCCAGCCATGACAGATTAATCTAATTGTCAAGCTGGGCCTCCTGGTTCCTGATAAGGTGAGAAGCTCTGGTTTAACTGGTTGAGCCTAAAACGAGGCAGGAAAGGCTGCGGAGTGAAACATGCGCCGTATCGCAGCTGCTTCACATAATCTGGATTACATCAGATATTCCAGCTCATTGACCTGATAACCGTCACCAAGATTAGCCAATCAAGATGAGCATTAATCTGTTCACAGCTGGATTAACACATTTCACAGACTTTTACTCTGAAAGATTTCTCTAATCTCATGTTTCACTCCAACAACAACTGAAAAGATCAAATAATCTGAGTTATTTTATCCTCACAAATGAATATATTCTGGCCGACAACAAGCTGAGCTCATCCAAGTCCTGAGAAGAGGCTGGGCTTGCTTCTGCCTCGGGCCGGCTGGGCTCTCGTTCACAGCGCAAACATCCAGTGCATGAATTTACAGCAGATAATCCATCAGAAACCGCAGATTCAATCAGTGCGTCTGAAAACGGCTCGTTTCCCCAGAGGACCGGACCGGACCGGACCGGACCGGACCGCATCGCACCGGACCGGACCGGCTATACATCCAAACTTTAAACACCAACTTCAAATTAATCAGTGAATTATACAAACATGAAAACAATTTTTTTTATCTCATTTCAAAAAAGGACATCCAGATTGACTAGAGAAACAGATGAGCAGTTTCACCAGAGACAGCATGTCTGTCCCAGGTGTGTCTGTCCCTGCTGTGTCTGTCCCAGGTGTGTCTGTCCCTGCTGTGTCTGTCCCTGCTTTGTCTGTCCCAGGTGTGTCTGTCCCAGGTGTGTCTCTCCCTGCTGTGTCTGCTCAGGTGTGTCTGTCCCTGCTGTGTCTGTCCCTGCTGTGTCTGTCCCTGCTGTGTCTGTCCCAGGTGTGTCTGTCTCACCTTGAACGTGCTCTCCGTCAGCTTGCTCACTCCGTCGGGAGTCCTCGCCATGACGCAGCTCGTCTCTCTTCCAGGTAGCGGAAGTCAGAAAAATCCAAACGTGGCTCCGAAATCCCGGCTTGTCCTCGGTGCCAGTAGAACTCCCAGCGGCTCTGGTCTGGACCTCGGTTCCGAACTTGAGTGCAGAGACGTGTCGGAACTCAGCGGCGGACCGGGACACCGAGGAGGAGGAGGGTGGGTTCTGTGACGTAACGAGGCGTGACTCATTAAAGTCAACAGGTGGGATGAGAAGCATCAATTAATGAAATGTTCTATGGGGCCAGCAGAGGGCGCTGTTTCAGCATATCACAAGGTATGTAGTTGTTTTTAAATCATTTTTTGCTTTTTAAGGCTTAAATTCAGCAACACTGGAGAAGTTTTGGGGAGGATAAGGGTCAGCCGCAATATTTATTCTGGCCCATAATTTGATGGTTGGTGCCAGACCTGGACTCTGGGTTCATGGTACCAGACCAGCCCTGGTTCTGGACGCTTACCAGGGCCAGAATCTATAAATTACTTAGCAATAATAATATGACTATAGTAATAAAAAAAGGTACTAACATTAGCCAGTCATCTTTTAGCTAACATTAGCCAGTCGTCTATTAGCTAACATTAGCCAGTCATCTTTTAGCTAACATTAGCCAGTCGTCTATTAGCTAACATTAGCCAGTCATCTTTTAGCTAACATTAGCCAGTCATCTTTTAGCTAACATTAGCCAGTCGTCTTTTAGCTAACATTAGCCAGTCATCTTTTAGCTAACATTAGCCAGTCGTCTTTTAGCTAACATTAGCCAGTCATCTTTTAGCTAACATTAGCCAGTCGTCTTTTAGCTAACATTAGCCAGTCATCTTTTAGCTAACATTAGCCAGTCGTCTTTTAGCTAACATTAGCCAGTCATCTTTTAGCTAACATTAGCCAGTCGTCTTTTAGCTAACATTAGCCAGTCATCTTTTAGCTAACATTAGCCAGTCATCTTTTAGCTAACATTAGCCAGTCGTCTTTTAGCTAACATTACCTGCATCCACTATCGTTGCTCAACTCAGTTGGTTAGTTTCGGAAAAACTGTATGATTCTAACACACCTGCGCAGGTGTAAACCCAGTTAGCATCTTAGCGCTGATGTTGCGTTTAAAGGCGGCTCAGAAAAACAGATAAAGATGTGTTAATAATGAATTAAACAATTTTATCTGCTGAAAAAAGTGACAGAAGGCACAGATATGGGAAGCAACTAGCCTGGCCACTCCAGGCCTGGAGGGTTTTCTGCAACTTTTAGATGCATCTCTAATTCAGCACACCTGAGTCAAAAAATGAGGTCATTAGCAGGTCTCTGGAGAACTTGACTACATTTAGGAGATGATTCAGCTGTGTTGGACCAGGGAGACAACCAAGAGTTGCAGGTCACCGGCCCTCGAGGACCAGGACTGCCCACCCTGCTACTGTATCAAATCAGACAACCCTGTTTTTCAGCTCAAAAGGTGTCATACAGACATGAGAGTCACACCAGGAGCTCAGAGGATATGTGTCATTATGTAGAAAATTTCATATAACACATCACCATCCAACATCTTCACAGTGCAGGACATGCATTTTCTGGCAAGGGGCATTTGGAGGACCTGATGACCTTCCTGGACCTTCTGGTGCCACCAGACTAATTGATCTTATGCATTCATTATGTTACAACAAAAGGTAAGACTGCAAACATTATTCATAAAGAGCCTACTTTACTCAAATGTAACTCTCCAGTAACACATTCATCAATCTGTGTTGCAGCTTTTATTGGCAAAATTCAAATGGTCTGGAGTTCGGCACCAGCACCATCCAGACCCTGACGGGATAAGGGTGAAAAGAAACGCATGGATGGATTTCTCTAAATGAACAATTAGAACATCTCATCTAAATGAAACGATGAGATGAATTAAAATGCTTAAAGTTTTGACATCAGCAGTAAAAATGCAGATTGGAGGAGATAAAAACGCAGGAAGATTCGTTTTTTTTCAGGCTGACATGCTGTTGCTTCAGTGGCCTGCAGGGGGCAGCCTGGCCCAGCAGCTTGAAAAGCCTGTGATTGGTGGAGGACAGGAGATATGAAGGCCAAAATTCTGTACTGATTGCTTATCATAATCCCTCATTGATTGTCATTATCAATTATTATTAAATGAAGTTAAGGTGGAGCATGGAGTCAGAGACAGTAAATCAGATTTCTTCCTCCAGAAGCTGTTCTTCCATATTTCTGCCATTTGATGTGAAAATCAGCCCCACTGGTCTTCGTTTACACATTTTGGATCTCAGAGAAAAGTTTGCTTTCGCTGCTTGTTTTCTGGATTTGACCTTCGAAAAGTTCTGGGTCAGCTGTTTGACACCAGAACCAAACCTTCCACGTGTTCATCGTTTCATCTGCTCTTCATGGTTTGCTTGGAAGTTGAATCGTTCTCAGAAAACCAACTTTGAGCTCTATAACCGTTAGAAAAACCAAACATCAGCTGAGCGTTGAGCTCTGATTTCTGTTTCAGAGATCAGACATTAATGAACCGTGAGAGAGCGTGACGGAAGCAGAGCCTCCTTCAAACGCTGCTTGTGTTTCTGCTGCCTCCTGACTGAACACATGCTGCCGATTTCAGGCTTTTAGTGCTGGAGCTGAGAGAGCAGGGCGACGCTCCACCCTGACTCCACCCTCCTCGGTGGGAGCGCCGGGCAGTTTGGAGCAGAGCAGCAGCAGAAATGGACAGGTAACAACTTCTGTGGTGTTGAAGTCGTTTTTCCTCCCAGAATCCTTTCTGAGCGTTTTGTTCTGCAGAGCGCGTCCTGCCTGGTTCCTGCTGCGCCTCCTGCTGACGGCCGCAGACCTGACGGCCGCAGACCTGACGGCCGCAGACCTGACGGAGGCCGCCGGCCCGCTGACGGACCCGGGTACGTCATCCAGCGGCTCCTCGCCGGCAGTTTGGTTGTTTCTTGACCCTGGAACTCATTGGTGTGTTTATGGCAGAGCGCGTCGCTGGGAGGCTGGTCTTCTACCAGACGGAGGGCAGCGCCACCTACCTGAGAGACTCGGGAGCACTGGCCTCAGGGGTTGCCACAGAGACCGTGTTTGAACTCTTGGGTCCTGAGAGGAACTTCAGCTCGGCCGGGTTCAGCTACACCTGGGACCTGGGGAACGGGTACGGCGCCGCCTGTGGCTCCGTTCTGCTCCGTCTCGTGTTTATTGTTGTCTTTGGTGCAGAGAGGTGATCCGGGGAACCGAGCCGGTGGTGCGGTACCGATACTCAGAGTCAGGAAACTACACGCTGCGGCTGAACGTCGGCGGTGACCCTCCGCAGCTCGCTCCTGCTGGAGTCTACGTCCAGGAAGTCCAAGTGCTCGGTTTGTGAAACTTCCTGTTCAATGAACCGTCTGATGCAGTTTGTCCTGGAAGCTCAGATGGAAACCTTGAGGTCCGGCTTCAGGAAACTTCAGCTGAAACTTTCATCGCTCCTGACTGAAGATCCAGTAACAGAAAAAATGTGACTTTGCAATTTATTGGAACATTTTTAACAGTTAGCTCAGGATGTTAGCATTTCCACATGAGCTGTGTTTATGGGCGTCAGAGTAAAAGGGGTAGAGGCCCTCTCCGTTTCCTTTGTGTTTGTGAAGGGGTGTTAATACTTTAGCAGACAGCTGATGACCCGGTACCATTTGGGTCCAAACCCTCACAACCCATCTGGGATTTCATTCCAGATGCCATCAGGAGCATCCAGCTGGTGGCGCCGTTGAACTACAGCGTGAACCAGAACTTCAGCCTGGACCTGCAGCTGGACGGGAGGTGAGCAGCACCAGAACCTGTCCGCTGGTCGGGTCCCAGTTCTGTTTTTTGACCCGGTTCCTTTCTGTGTGTCCAGTCCTCCCATGTGGGTTTGTTGGCGGTTCCTGAGGAACTGCGCCCCGGACCCGGCGCCAGGCTGCACGCTGACCCTGCTGCGTGCCGCCAGCCTGCGGTTGAGCCACGCCTTCGACTCGGCCGGCCTCCACTGCCTGGAAGTCAGCGCCCGCAACGCTGTGAGCGCGCTGCGGATGACCTTCAGCCTTAAGGTCACGAGGAACGGTGAGCACCGACTGCTCCAAGCCCATAGAAGAAGAAATAGTTCATCAGAAATATCTGAGTCTTTAACCTGGAGGAACACTGGCAGAAAAACTACAATCGATTAATCCGTAGCTTTCATTGGAATGTTTTAGCTTCCCAAACAGACTGAGCCCAACCGGACCGGTCCCACATGGCAGCCGTGGCCGAAGGATCGGTTCCGGTGGGATCCGTTTATCGCCACGATACAAAAATTCTGGCTTTTTCACCAAAACGGACTCCAGCCTGGAGATCATTGACGTTCCTTCATTTGGTCCCATTAGAAAGTTTCCTGCATCGTTATGGGGCAGGAAACTGATGAAATGATGAGGTGATGAAACCATGAGGTGATGAAATGATGAGGTGATGAAACCATGAGGTGATGAAATGATGAGGTGATGAAACCATGAGGTGATGAAATGATGAGGTGATGAAACCATGAGGTGATGAAATGATGAGGTGATGAAACCATGAGGTGATGAAATGATGAGGTGATGAAACCATGAGGTGATGAAATGATGAGGTGATGAAACCATGAGGTGATGAAACCATGAGGTGATGAAATGATGAGGTGATGAAACCATGAGGTGATGAAATGATGAGGTGATGAAACCATGAGGTGATGAAATGATGAGGTGTTGAAACCATGAGGTGATGAAATGATGAGGTGATGAAACCATGAGGTGATGAAACCATGAGGTGATGAAATGATGAGGTGATGAAATGATGAAACCATGAGGTGATGAAATGATGAGGTGATGAAATGATGAAACCATAAGGTGATGAAATGATGAAACCATGAGGCGATGAAATTATGAAACCATGAGGTGATGAAATGATAAAACCATGAGGTGATGAAATGATGAGGTGATGAAATGATGAAACCATGAGGTGATGAAATGATGAAACCATGAGGTGATGAAATGATAAAACCATGAGGTGATGAAATGATGAGGTGATGAAATGATGAAACCATGAGGTGATGAAATGATGAAACCATGAGGTGATGAAATGATGAAACCATGAGGTGATGAAATGATGAAACCATGAGGTGATGAAATGATAAAACCATGAGGTGATGAAATGATGAAACCATGAGGTGATGAAATGATGAGGTGATGAAATGATGAAACCATGAGGTGATGAAATGATGAAACCATGAGGTGATGAAATGATGAAACCATGAGGTGATGAAATGATGAGGTGATGAAATGATAAAACCATGAGGTGATGAAATGATGAAACCATGAGGTGATGAAATGATGAGGTGATGAAATGATGAAACCATAAGGTGATTGAGCGTTTCAGGCTGTCCTGGTGTTTCTGCAGTTTGCTGCCACCTGCTGTTCATCCTGAGCTGCGCCGCTGTTCTCGCTGCCATCTTCTCTTTCATCCTGGCCATCGCCTGTCGCCCTCGGCAACTAAACAGCTCACAGGTACGACACACATCCAGCACAACATGACTGGAATAATACTAGTACTCTGCATTATGCTAATGGACAGTTTTATACTATTTTAATAGTATAATATTAGCATCGTATAGTGCTAATAATTTACTAGCATTATACTATGGTGTGATATAGTATGACATAGTGTAGGCAGTATTAATACTTGGTATTGTGTGTTGTGATGTAGAATGGTGTCATATTATACAAAGTGTGGTAATAATAAGATAAGACAGTATAGCTAGTAGTATCTCCAGCAGGGCAGATCAATACGTTGATCAGGTTTCGAGTCTCTCCAGCGGGTGACAAACTGAAGGCCAACAGGAAGCTAAGACCAGAACTTCCTGTTCTGACAGGATTATCAAAATAGGAGTTTAAATGAGCCAATCATCTGGGATTGGCTCTTTAATAATCAATACATATCAAGCCTGGAAACCTGATGCTAATGCTAATGCTAAACGGAGTTAATGTTTTCACCTAATCTCTGCTCAGCTTGCGGAGCGCAGGCGGTTACACGGCAACAGGTGTGCTTAACGACAAAGGGAGAGAGAGTAAAAAGGTGTGATGGTTCTGAGTTGATCACCTGTTCAGGTTGTTTTACCTTGTTGACCTTTGCTGACCTTTGCTGTGTTTCATCACAGAGTTTCTGAACGATCAATAAACGATAAACTAGGACTGATGACGTCGTTCGTTTGCAGAAAACGTCAAACATCAATAGGACAAATATATTGATTAGGTTTTAACAAATGGTTTCTGCCACCATGATTATGTGAAATGAAATGATTTAAATCCCAGATTCAGAAGATTTGCCTTTAACAGAGCTCTTTGGTTACTCCTATCAGTCTGCAGTTTCTCATACTGAGGTCAAAGTTCAGATCCAACAGAACTGACTGACAGCTGCTGATCTCAGGTTTCCAACCAGCTTGTGACTGAGAAACCAGTAACCTCCAGAAATCAGTAACCTACTGAAACCAGTAACCTCCTGAAACCAGTAACCTATTGAAACCAGTAACCAGCTGAAACCAGTAACCTACTGAAACCAGTAGCCTGCTCCAGTGCCAGAATCTCACTGAGGAGAAACTGCATCAGGTTTTCTTTCACTTTAATTGTTTTTCTGTAATAATTGATGTTTATCAGCCTATAAATGATCAACATGGTTTCATGTCCAGTTTCTATGTCTTGGTGTTTGAGGTGAATCTCAGCGGCTGCTGGGAGAACAACTGGATGTTGGTGCCGGACGGTTTGGGCTCCCTGGCCTACAGTGTTGCTCTGTACAGTGTATAATGTACTGCAGTATGATGCAGTGCAGTGGTAGTGTAGTATCACACAGTGTTGCTCAGTAAAGTACATATTATGTGTGGCATAATGTGATATATTATAGTTTCCTACAGTGTGCAGAAGTTTGTAGAGAAAGTTGTGCTGGGATGAAACGATGATGCTGTTTATTCTCAGTATAGATGTTAAAATGTAGATCTGCAGCTTTGCTCCGAATCACTGGCTGCTGACGCTGGCGGGTTTGTGTCCGTCCTGCAGGTCCCCGCTTCCAGCAACGCCACGTTTCTGAAGGACCACGGCTCTAAAGTCATTCTCAGCTTCTCCTCTGTGGAGAAAGGAGAGAGAGCTCCCCTCATCCTGCAGCCTGCGAGGCAGAACTGCTGCTGAACGCCGCCCAGGAGCTACATGGAGCTGCATGTTCACCTTTACTCACCTTTACTCACCTGTGTTTGGGACTGGAACCTCCTCAGTCAGCACTGCTGCTCACATCTCCTGATTGTTTTCTAGATTTCTACCAGTGACCATGTGAGTCACCAGACTCATCCCGTTATGGCTGTTATCCTAAATAAAGCTGATCGACTAGTAATGTCTGTTTCTGTTTGGCTGAGAGAAAATGCTGAGCTGTGGTTAAATATTGATGACTGATTGACTCAGAGGTTGACATTTTAATGGATTTAATAAATGAGTGGCTGATGTGCAGCTCGTGTTTAAACAATGAGAACTGAAGGAGCGATTCAAAAGGGTTGGACTGGGTTCTGTGGAGTACGTTTGAGAAGTCAGTATCTTACCTGTAGTAGACGGCAAACGGTCATTTTAGTTTAGGGAATAAGTTGGCAGGTACCGGGAGAAAGCCCAGAACTTCATGAGTATTAAACCCAGGAGTCAGAGCAAATGGTGCTAGAATCCAAAGTTATAGTGAAACATGCTAATATGTTAGCATGGTAACATGATTTCTATGTGAAATCCAACTGTAGACTGTGGAGAGTGTTGCTGTTGTGGTGATTCCAACAGCAAATCCTCTCTGCCAAACTCCTGCAGCTTGTTGACTCGTGTTTGGTTTCGTCTAGTAGCTGAAAGTTCAGCCGCGTCGCCTTGAAGCCGTGGCTAAATCTGTAGAAGAGGCCTCTCTCTGGTGCCTGCTTGGATGTCCACCTTGTGGATGAGAAATAGCCTTCAAACAATGCTCCACCATTAGAACTCCAACATGGCTGCTATTAGGATACCTGAGCTCCTCAGGAGGCTGATTGGCCAGCTGAGCAGGTATACCTAATAAAGTGCCCAGCTGTTTTAGAAATGATTAAATATTGAGTAAGTTAGGAAGTGTTAGATGAAATTAAAACCAGTACCTTTTCCTGAACAGCTTTGGAGGAAACCATGGGGGTGGGGCTTCTCACCTGACCTTCTGGCCTTTCATCAGTTAAGTGTTGCTAATGCCTCATGGTGCACCTGTTGCTGCTGTTGGTGCCAACTGAGCCTGAAGATCCCACGCAACCTGTGTCATTAGCGACTCACGTCACACCTGCTTGAGCAGCTTAACAGATCTGAGAGACAGCAGGTAAACAACCCAGCAAGGTTCATCCTGCTGCTCTG